TCTCTCTCTCTCTCTCTCTCTCTCTCTCTCTCTCTCTCTCTCTCTCTCTCTCTCTCTCTCTCTCTCTCTCTCTCTCTCTCTCTCTGTCTCTCTCTCTCTATATATATATACTATATATCTATATATATCTATATATATATATATATATATTTACATGTTCTATTTCTATCTTATTACACAATAGATTCCTTGGTATTTTAATAAATAAAACTAATAAATGAATAACTACTAGAGAGGCGGGAGAATGATTTTCATGTCATAAACGGTTTATTCATAATACATGTTGGACTGATTTCTCTAACTTGAATAACATTCCTATTGTTCTTGTTTCAGCTCTACCCCGACGGTACAACTGCCTCATCTCAGGAGGAGAAAGCTGTACTTCTACGACTGGCCAAGGACAAGTGGGCACAGCTATTTTCAAGGTACTCATTTGTTCTTTCTTGAACATTACAAACTTTATGCTTGAGAAGCAAGAATACTAGTTGTAGGTGAAAGGTAGAAGTACTGCACAGTGTCTAATTAGCCGAGGTCTATCATGACGGCACAGTTCATGTTTCTACTGCGATACCAGCTTCGAGGACGAATGCGGCAGTTGTAGGAAAGTGTTCCCGCGGCGGAGGTGGTGTCGGCTGACTCCATTTAATGAGAAATTGGGAATGGGCGGTGGTTCCGTATTCGCGCGATTTGCTGCGCTTGCTTCTGTTATGCTGGTAGCGGCGTGAAAAATAAATAAACGACTTGCGCGTTGCGACACCATGTATTGTTAATTAATGCAGTAATAACTGAAAACATAGGAAACTTCCGTGGGGTGGTATTCTCGAGTGACAGGCGTTCCATTGTGACTGACGTTGCTTCTCTAGTTGAGAATAATGAAAAAAAAAGCGATTTGGAGAAGTGCGCCCTGCGAGCTATGGTAACGACGTGTGAGATGATGCGAATGGTTGATATATCTATGGTGATCGGAGTTGTAGATGGATGGCTGTGTGTAAACTTGCAGGTCTGCTACAGGTTCATCTAGCGGCTGTATTTGAGCAGACGACCGCGAGTTCCCTCCAGTTAGTCCTGTCCTGTTCTGGGCGATGTCAGGTTACAGCTCAGGTGACGTTTCTGCTTTGGTCTTCAGCTTGCAGGACGGGTAAGCTGCCCCTTGTTCTGCACAGGGTATGACAAACGGTAGCTTCAGCCCAGCTACTTGGTCGTGGCCTCCCGGCGTCTCGAGCACAGCTGCAGGGCAAGACTTGCTGGTCAGGTCGGTAGGTATCGGGTGGTGACGTGAAGTCTGCAGGTGTTCTGGGCGGTCATCCTCGTTCATGACCATCGTCATGAGGTTCATGATAATATATTTAGAAATAGAAGGGACAGCGGAAGGATGATCCTGTAGTTGTTTCCAACCAGTGTCGCTCGGAGGTGGTAGGTAACCCATTATGACTCACCGGCTCTTGCTTCTCGAGATGCGGGTACTGAGAAATGAACTCCGGGAGCAAATCCCTTGATATATAAAAATATATTTAGCTGAGTATGCTAATGTGATGACGTAAGATGGGCTGATTGGCTGATCGATTGTGTGGGTGTTGGGCTGCAATTTGCCAGTCGGAGTTCTAATTATAGGGATGGTCTATGCTTGTGCGGGTTTTCAGGAATGTCGAGGAGCCTAGGTGATGTGTTACGAAAATGATGGCGCTGCTGCGGTGCAGTGTCTACTGATGTAATCTTGTCTAAGCTGGTCCAATTGCGATTCGGGATTTAGTGAGGTGATGACGCCTTTGAAGGCGGTCAGGAATGGCTCATAATGAAGCGAAAGATTTCCTGCTGTTTCCCGGGATATCAGCTCTTGTTGTTTCAGTGAATCAAAGAAGGGTAAATAAGTCAATAAAATCGGTTTTTTTGAACACCAGCTAAGTAAATAGTGCGCCAGCGCCGAGGGTAAGTATCTAATGAACGTGAGTTCAAGAAGCGCATTGAAGTGATAGGCCACACTGTCTACGTGACGGCTTAATGGAACAGTCATGTCGTGAAAATCAATGGCTGCTTCGACGAGAGTGTCATGAATATCAGAGGGCAGCTGTACGAGTTGTATGTCCCTTTCTAGCTTTAGATAGTCTGCGCCTATGCGCAGGCGACATGGTACACTGGCTCTAAGTTCAGAGTCGGTCCATAGTTCAAGATACTGCGTGAGATTATTTGGGTCACAAAAGAGACCCACCGCAGCAGTGAGTAGTGCGCGGGTGTGCTGGGATGTGTACTTCCTTGTGGGCCTCATGCCATCCCGCATACCTGAGCCCACCACATTACGGGCATGTACATTCTTTAGGTATAGAGCACACACATCAGTCCACTCACATCCTTCGCTAACGTTAAGGGTTGCGCCACCTTTCCCGTCGGGAAATACGTATGGTTCATCTAACATATTGCGGGAGCGAAAGGCATGCATCTGTAGTAAGGACAAGGCCTCTGTGTCAGAAAAAAGGTAACATCCTAGTACATAGACGGGAATATTGGTGATGTTCTTGGTCACGGGCTTTTCTGTAGCTTCCAGTTGAGTTATAAACCAATCAGGTTGACCTACTGGTCCAAACAGGGAGAATGGTGGATTACCTTTAGAATAGCCATAGAGAAACATTGCGTCTATGTTAGGAGTATGCTCTCGAGCTGTAATGTTTTTCCGGTTAAGAATTTCCAGAGTAATGGGGGACAGGGTAGCCTCCCATCCTATGACCAAGAGGCTTACAGATGCTGTGGCGTGAAACACGCTAAGCTGTATGTTCAGAAGGCCGAGTGCATTTAGGTGGTCTATTAGTATTAGTAAACACTCGTATGCGGCATAAGTCACACTTGGTACTTCCCCCCAAATGGTTCGTAATGTGGCGAGTGGGATGGAAGGGGTGTAAGGAGTGGTATTCAGGGGGGTGGGCATGGAAAGAGGAATCTCGAATTCTGGTAGTGGTTTTGTCGGGTCCATAATGTGATTTTTTCCTTCTGGTTCGCTATCAACATTGTCATTCCACTCTGTGGTGGGGTCTTTTTCGGGTTCAGTAAAGACTGGTGGGGGAATCCTGATAGATTTTGTCGGCGTTTTGGGATCCATAACGTTGTCATTGACTTGATGGAAGGGGGTCGGTGTGGGAACGTGTGGTATCGACGTTGTTGGAAGTGGGGTCGGGATGGAGGAAGTGTGTGGTGTGGGGGGTAGCGGGAGCGCTGCGAGGGGCTGTGACGGTGGGGGCGTGGCGGGTGCCGGGGGTGTGGGCTGGGAAACAGGAGCAATGGACAGTAGGGGACCTTGAAGAGCATTTGAAATGAGCTGTGGGCCCTCAACTTGGGGAACGTTATGGGGAGTAATTTCAGGTAGTTGTGGAAGGGTTGGGATCTCTTCGATGGTCGGCGAGGTGACTGCCCGTATGCTCTGTGCTGATGATTGGGGGAGAGATACAATTGTTAAGGTTTCCTGTGCTCTGGCTGAGGAGAAGGAAGAGGCGCCTTGTAAGGTGCTAGAATCTACGGTGATCACCTGGATGGGGCGACTGTTGTGTTGGGGCAGGTCAGACCCAGTCCTGAGAAAAGGGTCCAAAAGTTGACGGTATTTTGTTCTCTTGATTTTCTTGTTTTTGTGGCGAAGATCATGGGGAGTCCTTTTAATCAATATTCGCTGACCAGTCTGTTGATCACGAATGACCATGCGACCGCGTTCAAATCGAGGTATATTGGGTAGTTGGCGTAACATGGATATGTAGGATGCGGTGGCTGTGTTGTGTATAGGTGCGGATAGGGGGAAGCTTATGGATGCGCCCAGGAGGGTTTCAATTTCCTCATGGTCGGTTAGTGGAGTCATGGTCGGAGTAGTTTCATTTAGGAACGGAATAACGTCGACCTTTGGCTTCGAGTCAAGTATGGCTTTTGTGACGGCAACTTGGTCGTGGGAAAACTGCGAATTGTCAATTATTGTGTTTGTGGCAATGGGTCTTGTAATCTGATTAGTTGCTCTAGCGGGGTTGTCGTCCCAGTTCATTTTTGGAATTGCTATTTTGAGACGTTTGCCCCCGTTAGTTACGTGGACTCTGAACGACTTTTCCTCGACTTCATGCAGTTCGTAGGAAGCTGACGCTGCGGCACCATCCACGTCGTCACTCTCCTTCTCCTTATCATCCTCTTCCCATCGACGTTTGGAATAATACTGAAAAGCATACTGGACACTCTCATCACGGCGATGTTTCGTATCGTATCTAATGACTGCATTAATAAGTTGCCAGACGGCGTGCGTAATTGGGTCATTGGCAATTATGCTTTTTTCGACTAGGGAACGACTTCCCCCACGATTAGTCTTGCGACTGTCGCCATCGTCTGGAAGCGGGTTTTCCAGTATGTCGGACGCGTTTTGAAACCACAACTTTAGCGTGGGGCCAAGGGGTTGGCTGGAGGAAAGGGCATTGCGGAATTTTTTGACAAAGTCAGTATGGAGACTGGTGGGATCGGTCGTCCAACCTACGACGGTCATCGTTGTTCCCTGAATAAGTCCGCCGAGTCTGAGGTCGTGTTGTGTGGCCCAAACTGTGTCGTAAAAAGCTTCAGTTGCGCTCCAAAGTCGGGGTAGGTTCCGTAGCCATGTGGGTTTAGTAGAAGTGTCTATCTGGAGTACGTCGGAAAAGAGGTCAGGTAATCGATGTAGATTGGAAGCATAGTACTCGTAACAGGCAATCCCGTCCCCCTGGGCTTCAGTCAGATCAGCCACACCCATCTTGGAGACGACTTCGTCAATTTCCCGCCTGAAGTGGGCAATTGCGTGGGGGGTAAACAAGTCATACTTAAATTCCATTGGTCAATACTACTGATATCACGTGTTGCTATTTGAGATGTGGATGCTTATATAGGATTGTAAGAACGGTTGGTATTTTCATTTATACTTACGCTTTCAAAATGGCAAAGCGCGAGTGTTCCTATAATGAAGATATCTGTGACTTTAGTGACTCTAGTGACAGCTGTGACTCAAGTAAAAAACAGAAAACGGGGGCGAAGATTATTGGATCTATGAAGGTAAAAGGCGATGCTGGACGCAACGTTACTCGAGATTTGTATCAAACACAAACCCCATATTTATATGATGCGAGTTGTGATACGGTCGACGTGGTCATAGGTAGGCTGAAGCAATGTTTGCGGAGTCTGGCGCAGTACTACACGGGCTACGAGCAGAACCGCATTCGCTATCTAGCCGTCAAGAATCCATTGAAGGCTTACGAGCTCATGACAATCTATTCGCAAAATTTGGCAAACGTGACGAAACTTAACCTGTTTGTCGAACCTCACAAATATTTCATCTCGAGACGGCCTTTGATGAAGAAATGGATGGAAGAAATGAACAAAAAGTTTGCATGGTGGGCCATGTCTGATCAAAAGGAAATCGACACCTATATGAAGAACGCGATAAAGCTTGTGGAAGTGTTTAAGAGTGAGAATGCTGACGGTGTTCACCACAAACCAAGCTGGGGCATGAGCACGAGGCCGATGGAAATGGGTATGTACATTGACAAGGCTTTGGGGGACGACATTATGCGCATGGCCGTAATGGGGCTTTACGGGATAACACCGGGACAGATGGAAGAACGGCGCGTAGGGCGACTGCCGGCTGTTGGATTCCCCATGGTTGCAGCAACTCCAGATGGAATTACGTGTCAAGACAGTAAAAAATGTGAGCAATATATGGATTATGTGCAATCATTGGGGGGCGCACCTGCCCTGGGGATTTCGGACAAGATAGACGATCTCATTCGTCGAGGTGTACCGAGGGTTTCACATGAGTTGAAGAGCATACAAGTTGAGGAACACAAAGAACACTCGGGATCCAGGGTATTTCATAAGGAGATGCAGCGCATGAAATACATGTACAAGAACGGATCCATTGACTCTCTTCGGGAGTACTGTCTACAACTGCTCGTTTCAAAGTTAGAAAACGGGAAATGGGTGCCCAGTACGCAGGACCGGGCCGACGATTTGCAGTACAAGAAAGAGAGGCATATAAATAAACTAGTGATACAAGGAACCAAATATAAGAAAGTGAAGAATTCTAATCAGATGAAGAGAATTCTGGGAACGCCGAGCTTTTTCAAGGCCAATTTTCACCTGTACCCTACTGACGACTTGGATAAACTGCAAGTGGACACGGCTGGACATCTCACCTACCAACACCTCCTGGGTGAAAATGAGATCATTGACCTGAAAACTATCCGGTCTTGGCCCAAACAGGCAGTCATTACCGTATACGAGAACATGAAAGTCGTTTTTCAAGTGAAATTTGATCGGGCCCCTCTTCTTTTGTCGCCGAGGGGGAAGCACTACAAGCAGATGTTGGTTCAGGCCATGTGTATGCGGGAGTATAACGGGGGTATTCGATATGTGTACCATGCCATACTCAGCCACTCGCGCGCCGAAGCCAATAAGAAGTTAGAGGTCGCTATGGTGTATAGCTACGACACAGGTATAGACGACCAGCAGATCGACATGGCACTTAAACAGACCATTGCAGCCATGGGAACGGTGGACTCGTGGTTTGACGACTTCGTGAAGGCAGAAAAGTTGGAGAGCGTACGGGAGGAGCACCGCTTCTATCGGAAATGTCCTGTTAACATTCCGGTAGGAACAGTCTTTCCACCGGCGAATAAGGAATATGGATCGCCTTCGGACTCAGAGTCAGACAACGATGACGCGGAGTGCTTAGAAGATGAACTACTGGAGGAGGCGTTTGCGCTTTATGAGAAGGAGCGGGATGGTAACGGAAGTTGTAACGAGAAAGAAAAATTCGGATTAGAGGGATGAGCTGCACAGCGACGATTTCACTTACTCGGTCTCACCTAGGGAAAATTATCGCCTTTTTTAACCTAGCCTTTTCATATATTCTTCCATAGGCAAGATACGACAAAGCGCAGTGGCATCATGGCGTACGTGAATGGTCATATGCCGCGGTATCCGTGGGCCAGTAATGGACTGATTTCTGGGGTTACGCCCACCAGTTATAATGGTCCTGTCAATCTCATCACAGGTGCACATTCGGCCCTGGTGAAATCGGGCGCCTATGTAGTCATGGACCCGAATTTCTCAAGTGGTCCACACAAGGAAAATTTCAGCAAGGTGCTACAAAACACTGTGGCCTGCAATCGACTTAAGATTGTGAGGGTGGAGGGGGTGGATAAGTTCGTGGATACGGGGCTTATTCACATGTTTCATCTCAACTACTCTGCCCTCTTTGTTCCCGACCTGTACAGCGAATATGTACTCATTAAGGTCCTACCGGCGCCGAAGAAACACAGGGGGGCTATACCGGTTAAAACAATAGACTTTGTCTCGTGTAGGCCGTACGTCTTCTCTGCCAGGGGGACAGCTTTTGAAATACCACATACGGTAGTGAACACCGTTGTGCGGCTCAACACCAATCTGCACTCTATGGGTGTGTTCGGGGATCCACCCATCGTGAAAGAGAGACCGGAACAAGTGGAACGGACTGCGAAGGCAATGGGAAAAGCTGTTTGTACCACATTGGAAGCTATGGTGGCTCAGGATGCAGCACATACTAAGCTATCATTGGACAAGGGGTATGTGGCAGAGGCCTTGGAAACGGTCTTGCGGACAGCCATTCCTCTCGCTTTAGTTGTTGTGCATGAAAACAATGCAACGGCTTTATCGTCGGCTGTGGAATCAGCTAACGATATGAATGCATGGATAAGACAGGATCAGTTGCGCACGAATCTTATTGACCTCTACATTAAGGAACATCTTAAATCTCGTTTCATGTTGGGCAAGAAACCAATGACCTTTCTGAGCGAACTTGTAGAAAGAGGTTACTCGCATCTTCAACACATGGATAAGAAGCAATCGCTCGACTACAGCACGGTGATCCTACCTTCTGATGTTCATGAGGCTGATATAGAGATTGCCCGACAGGGACGTGCAAGGAGTAACTTTTTAGCAGGAGTCATCATGGTCAGCGAGCATGCCATGACGCACCTCAGACAGGTAAAGGACATTAAATCTGGGGTCAGGGTTTTTAGCAAGCGTGTTTACCTACAGCCCAATGAAGGTTACCGTGATGATATCGACCAGTGTGGACATAAGGGCATCACACGTGCGTACAGAGAGATAGATCATCCCCTCAAGAATTTGACGACTGGTGAGGATTTGTACAACCTCATCAAGGAGCCAGGCAGCGACACAGCGGAGAGTAATAGAAGGGAGGCTCTTGTCAATCTGACTAAATTAGGGCAAAAGATTTATGGGGAGGAGAAACAGCATGCTGACGAAGGACCTAATGGCGTATTGACAATGAATGGAGAGCTTGAGAGAGATGATCAGGTCCTCTACACCATCAACACGTCACGCCCCTGCATGTATTTTGAGACCCGATTTGGACCCATTATCGTGGAAGCAATTCAGGAGGAGGTGCCAATTGCTAGGAACCTTGGTCATGGTAACGATGAGACCTGGCAGCATTCGCCCAGTCTCGTACAGCTGTGCCGCGAATTATTTCGCGTGAGCATGGGTGATTTTAATGAGGACGCCCCCAACTTCTCGGCCATTGCTAACGCCAACATGAACAGAAACTCCACCAAGGGAGTCATCGCACCCATGCACTTCTATGGTGTCCCTGACATCGTAGTGAATACACCAAGCTTGGAGCACAGTTCTCCACCGTTGGTCTTTGGCCCAAAACAGGTGGGCATGGCATTCTTGATGCCACACCTGTATGATGTCGCCGGTTTCAAGGAAACGTTAAACACCAATCTCGTGAGAGCCATCGAGTTTGGAACCACGCCTATGGCTTCTATCACCGAGACTAGAAGGGATGAATTGGTGGCAGCCCGAGACTACAACAAACTGTACAAGGCGTATGTCATGTACGAGGAAAATGGTGTCGCCCAGCACCAAATGGCAGAGTCTGCTCAGCAAAAATTGGAATCGCTTGAGAAATTCCCCTTTTGTGACGTGAGGGCCAAGATTGATGAAGTTACAGGGAAACATGTTTTCGACGTGGTCCTCAGAGATGTCATAGGACAAGTGCCTGCCTTTGTTATCAGATCTAAGGGCCATGCACTTAGGGGGGAACGGCTGATGGCCGAAGCTAATAACCAGAACACCCAACAGGAATACATCGGCAAACTGGAGTCTGTGATGAAACGAGGTGGACTGCCAATAGATGGACCTTCGGGGGGAAAGGTGGAGATGGCCAATGATGAAGGAGTAACAGAGTACTATGTTGGTCTGTTACAGCAGCTTTACGGAAAGCATAGTGATAAGCTGAACGAAGTCAATGCTCTAGCTTGCGACCCGGCAAAATTGAAGGAAAGTATCTGGACTCATGCCGTACGACCTGTTATCACTGGCATGCGATACAACTTAGGCGATGAAACACTTGGTGCCAGCATACCAGATATCTTTGCCTTGGAAAATATGGAGCTTCCAAAGGCAAATGAAGATGACAACCCACAAACATATGGGTGTGTCTTAGCATCCAACATTTTCAAAATGGCGCTCAATAATGAGATTGCACCACACATCCGTATAGCCTCCATCATTATGATGTTCCGAAGAATCAAGCCTGTGGCTTTCGCAGAAGATGCCGAATCCAGAACGCCCGTCGGGTGGGCTGTTGATATGGTAAGGTTGCAGGAGATCTATTCTGATACGGCCATATTTGGGAAGCCATTGTCGCACGAGATGTTGGTCTCTGGTGCAGAGGCGTCAGAGAAGCCCAAGGATGATGGCAACGTCTGTTGTGAACTTAGCATGAACGTGCAGACCATGCATAGCATGTACGCTGGCGGCGCTGTCGTGGCAACCTGTATATACCCTAATCCCCACATGACAACTTTGGCTGCTCACCGGGGCAAGCCCATCGTGAGCATGGACAGCATAAGTCGGTCTAAGACTGGTTACTTGCAGAAAGAGGTGGAGAGAATTGGGAAAGACAACTTCTTTTCTGATAATGATCGAGAAGCCATCGACCGGTATCTGGGAGCTCAGGAAAAGGTCAGAATCGCCACTGCCAGTATGGGAGGTGAAAACAGGTCATTCAATCTGAGTGATGAGTTTGTACCCATAATCAGACCAGCAGGGAAGCCTAATCATGACCCCATTGATATCATGGGACGTCCCCGTGGAGAGGCTTTCCCCCTTTCCGGGACCACAGACATCCCCCTTGTTAAGTTCAACACATCATCCATACCCACCACTAATCCCTATGCCACCTCAATGGACTCTCTGTATCAGCACCTTTTCAGAGCTAACAATGCTCCTGTCGGGTCAAACTCGACCCCATATAGAGCAGTCACTGGCAACTACAGAACGGAAAGGTCGACCTTCCCTGTCAGTGCCACCACTGAGGTACTGGAACATCTTTTTGCCATGGATAACTCCATGAACTGTAACATCATGCCTGAAGGGCAGATCGCAGCCACGTCCAATTTTGCTGCGGTCAAAGGCTGGTTGAAAGGGGTCCAGCTTAACTATGACAAGGGTACGACTAAGCCTGAACATGCACTGGTGTCAAAATTTGACATTGGGGTATATCATGCCAAGGGGGTACCATACACACAATACACCGACGATGGCGGCATAAAGGGCGTTAAAAGAGAAGGGTTTTGTGACAGTGGACGCATGGTACCTGGCAGCGGACCTTACTCGATGTATATCCAGTCTCCCTATTCCATACCTGTCTAATGAAGAGTGACCACTTATCATCCACTGAAGACAACATATTCATTAAGCACGGGCACTCTGAAGTGTGCAGACTTCACCAGGTGGGGCGGGCTTAATACAGCTACAGTACTAAACTTGAATTAGATATCAGCTCTGTCTACGAAGGATGACTGCGGTGTTTTAGCAATGTTTCGGTATAATATTGGCTGTCACCAATACCGACGCCAATCTAACCTAACTCCATGGGGGGTATTTTTTCAAAAATGCTATGCACTATTCCGGAAAGTGATGAACGGGGGGCCTACAAAGAGGTGTGGAATCCGAACAATCAAGTCGGCCGCTACCACGGTGATGACGACGAGGTCTTAATTGACCCCGTTGAAAGGGACATTTCCAAACGCGACGAAAAAATCATCTATATTGACACCTCAATAACGTACTGGAAGAACTTTTTTGCACTCACAACTGAATCGGGATTCGTGAGTTTTGTCGAGCAAAGGCGCCCGCCGAGTCTATTCAGTATGATGACCCCTGATGAGACCAAGACAACCCACTTGCGCCAACGGGAACATTTCTACCAGTTCGAACAGTTGTATGTCATGGGAAGGGGCATTGACCCCATTTGGCATAAGATTAAGGCTAATTTTTTTACACGTATCTACAACGAGATGTACCCTTTCCGAGTTAGGTTCATGTTCGAGGCTTTAAGGGCAGATCAGAGCCCGAGTAGCCAAGAAATCATAGCGTTCTCAACCGAAGATTCAGAGTTCTTCCTTATCAAGGAAGCCACGGAGATGTGGGACCGACTTGTCAAAGTCATCGGTGGGGTGCTCTCTCGTTTTCGTGAGCTCAGCGATCCGAGGATATTGTTCAATATTTCCTTCACCATGATAGTCATTGAGTATCTTTATGGAGAGAGAGATGTCCTGTTAAAGTTTTAAACTTTGTTGTTAAGAAACATGATATGCAAATCGCTATCATCAACCCTCTTGGTGCGTCTCTGTCGCAGGCGCAGCACGACGCAGGCTCTCCACTGCGTACATTACTATATGTTGTTTCAATAAACATTAAAGTATCGCATACTGACATCGTGCTTCTTTGTAATTTTTTGTGTGAACGTGTTATGACATGTAAATAAATATGCAAATGAGCTAGGGAAGGGGGTATAAAAGCAGATATGTTTGCCTTTACCCGCATAATTGGACGTGGCGTGAGGAGGCTAAACAACATTTTAGGTCAAGTGAGCGTCTATGACTATCAAGCTAAGAATGACTAATCCCTGTTCTAGACCACGATTCTCTACTCTCATGGATGATATTCGGGCGGCTCGGCAAATGTCTGTCGGCCGAAGATGCGGCCTGGAACATAGATCACCTATGCATATGAATGCTGTAGAACCAGATGTTTCTGCAAAAGTAGCGCAGGTTTACACCAGGCACTCTAGGCGGGGGGATTTCTACTTTCACTCGGCAGCGGTGCGTTACGACAGGGCGACTCAAGACTGGTATATGGTACGAGGAATCGTGGAAGACACAGAAAACAGCGTACCTACTGCGCATATGAACATAACAGACAAAATTAAGGTAATGCATTCATCTTTTAATACAAGGAACGTGGTGCGACAGCATACGCTTACCGGTAAGGAAGGAGTCGAGGATAGGAAGAGCAATAGCTATATCGAGAGTTTTCCACAGGAAGTAAGCAAATCAACATATCCGGTGTCTACTACGTTAGGATGCAAGCGAGTGGACACGGCTCGCATTGACCATGCCTACGGTCTCCTACAAGGCGACGCTAATATAAACACGACGAACGTTAACATGCCAAGAGGATTTCTCGAGCACGTGATGAACAAGCAGCTCACAGCTACCCACCACACTTTGCTTAACCCTGGACATGCGCGGATGGAGCCATTGGTCTGGCGAGATAGTGAGTTCAATAACTCACTTACCAGCGATTCCTTCATCTCGGCCGTCGTGAATGACATCACTTTTAAGAAGCGAGCTACAATCGAAAATAGCAAGGGTCGATTCCAACTTGTAAACAAAGCTAGGTTTAGGACACATAAAGTTGTGGAGTTGCCCTATGACGAAGAGACAGAAGCGGATGTCATACGGCGCTATCATAAAGACGAGGCGACGAAAGGCATGCAGGAAGATTGCGAAATCTTATGGCGAGCTGCCCTACGCCCACTAGAGTGTTTTGAGTTACAGGTTTATAGTCGATGCTTTAACGGTAGTGCTGTGCCGGGCTACCCCATGGTACCCATCATGTGCCGAAAGGGAGGTCAAATGCTGCACGAAAGTAACGGTAAGAACGTACAAATCAGTCTGGCACTCAATAACGCCAAGGCAACTACTGAGCGGCTTTTCCATTCACTGGTATGGCGAGAGGTCAATGCCTTCCTGGACTTGTTGTGTTGGACATTGAAAACGCACGAAAAGACGAAGGAGGAGGAACAGAGGCTGTTCCACCAAAAGATATTACCCATTGTTTCCAAGCTGGTTGGAAGTCGAGCAACCTACTCGCAGGCTACTAATTTTGCCCTCCCCAATATCTCATGGAGTCGAGTTTTGGGTGAATCCATTACTAAGCTAGTGTCACAGAAGTATAAGCGTATTGAAACAATCAATATGTTTAAGCGAGTTGAACCGAGATACCCGGATATCATCATTCGGTATGCCGACAAAAATCACAAACCACGCAACCCGGCGCGTAAAAGATCTTTTAGTGAGATGGAGAGAGGCTCGCCTACTTCACTGCCACCCACGATGGGGCAGGGGGTTGATGTGACAGAAGACGAGACTGATGATATCGGGGACTGTAAAGGAATGTTGGTACATAACGGAGGGCTCATGCCACCGATGCCCAGGAACGCGAGTCTGGTCAGAATGTTAGAGCTAGGTTATCAATGTTTCCGGGATCGATTCGACTTGCCCTATCCTAAGAACTATGAGATATGAGCAATAACAGTAGCAAATAAAAGAAAGACTCAACATATCTAAGGTGCGTATGGGTTTTTTATTCAATCACACAGCCCTGAATTGGTTCTAGCACTGGCACAATATATGATGATGTTAATAAATATGATAACGGTCACAAACAGCCGACAGCACATGTGTTGCTCTAATTCCGCCAGGTCTCTTTATTTTACAACAAGCTGTTGACGTGGTCGGTAATGTGGGACAGGACAGCTGACTTCTTACTAACTGGTGCCTGCGGCTGGCTAGAAGGGATGCTTGTAGGCATAGAATAGTGAGTTGCTTGTTGTTGACGGGCAACTTTAGCCCCGGCTGCTGGCCCGGTAATGGCTGACTCTGACTGCTGTTGTTCAGTAACATCAGCGTCGATGGCTTGGTCTTCCATAGACGTGGACGTATCTTCGCTATGTGGCTGCGATTGCTCCTGTTGGGTGGAGTCGGACGCAGCCAAAGGTCCTTGTACAGGAATACGGCGTTTGGCGATTGCCGGGCGTTTTCGTACCTGTCCACTGGGAGGCTGATGTGGCGGGGGGATAGCATCATATACTTCATACCCATATCCTTCGTTATAAGGTGCTCCGAAGCCTCCAGCTCGATCGTAGCCATTCGCTTGATCGTAGTCATTTTGATAAGGTTGCTGTAATGGCCTTACTAATGCCATGTTGGGAGGTGGACCCCAATGGGCGGATCTAATGGATCTATGCGGTGATGGTGGTGGAGCTGGTGGAGGTTGTCGTGGTGGGAGCTGGTGGGCTCCAGGAGTGGGAGATCCAAGGAAAGAAGGGGTATATGAGGGATTTGTAGCCGGATAATTGTATTGGTTGTAGGACATGGGTGGTAGAGGGGGTGGTGGTTGCTGCTGGTAGTAGGGTGTCAGAGATGTGGGGAGGGGTTGACCGGGATTATATGCGGCCTGGGGATTGAGCTGTGGTGGTGGTGGCGGTGGTTGGTACATCCCTGGGTGTGATGGCTGTCCATACGAACATGCAAGGTGATTATGAGAGTAGCCTGAGTCACCGTTTCCGAAGTAAGAGCCATGTGAGTGGGGGAGGGCCTCATACAATCTGTGTGTTCCACCACGTGGTCTGCGAGGCTCGTCATCAGAATCATGGTCGTCTATGAGCACAACTCGCTTGCCCCGTTTGGTAAGCGCCATCGTTTGTTTGCCTTGTTTGCGTCTCATGCGAACAACCTCCGCATCCGAAAGTGAGTCGTCTGAATAGTAGTCCTTCCGTTTACTACTCTTTTTCCTGGAGGCAACAAGGTCGCTGAAGGCTTTGTGAAGGGTTTTAATTGCAGCGTCGGAAGATGGGGAAGAGCGAGAGTCGTCGTCTGGCATGTTGTGCTGTGGAACAGCCTGCATTTCCTGGCTTGAAGCTGCTTGTGCAAATCTTGCTTCCGAGATTTTACCTTTTGCCGATTGCGGCGAAGGATCGTTAACGTTAGGAGGGGTGATTGAATACGCCGCGAGCGTATCTGGTGATGGCAGAGTGGGCTTAGTGGGTTGGGTTTGACACAAACATGGTGAACCTGTTGAACATCTGATATAATTTTCCGGGTCGGCGGAGTATTTAGCAGGATACATGGCATCTACGAAGCCTTCTAACTGGTCTAAGGGGATGGGGGTGGGCCTTGGTGGTAATTGCGGCTTGGGATTGGTTGACGTAATTGGTGGTTGTTGGGGCGAAGTTGCTGATGACATCGCTTCCTCTTCGTCAAGTCTGGACATAGAATAAGACAGACATTCAATGGGGGCCCCAACGGCGAGAAGATCTTCGGTAGTCTTGGCGTATAGTGCGCCGTTGGATACGGAGTGGCAGGCTCCGATATATTGTGTAAATTCCTCGACGGTTAGCCCCCCCTCCATCAATTCATCACCTTCTCCGACTTTGACCTGGTCGATGACCGTGAAAGGTCGTAGGCCAGACAAGCAAATGGAGAGTTCCGTTACGTCTTGTGTCTTCTTGTTGTGAGCGAAACTGGTGCTGGGAAACTTTTGCATGAGCGCACTCTGAGCAGTCACAGGCACTTTAAGATCGGGGCAAATAAAGTCGTTGTCGTTCGGTGATGGGCGCTGGCCTCCTTCAACGAAACCGTCCTTACTGTCAATGACACCTCCGACCACGTCATTGGCTCTCACTTTAGTAACGTCGATGACAGCCTTGAGAAATGCCGGGTTGTCTATTATGAATTCGGTTTCGATGACTTGACCATTTCGGTCGTAGATTTTGCGGTCGGTCACCTTTCGATGTCCAAGTGTGCGGCCGATAGAGTACTTGGAATTATGCTGAAGATACACGGGGACATTTGGGCTATTTTTTATTATTTGATCAGCCAGGTAATGAGGAATGACGTAATAGTAGCCGTCATCATCTGTCTTAATCTTGGCATCCACTCGCGGATCAATGAGGGCGGTAATGGCTCGACATCGTAAGGGGCGGATACCACCCCAGACGGCATCGGTCTTGGTCATGGAGGATGCTGGTTGTTGCGAAACACACGGGAATATCCCTGCCGACTTATGGGAAGACAATCAAGCAAAATGGGAAAAATACGAATACAGCCCAACACAATAACAAGAGCCAGAATGGACCAGTAGTAATGAATAATGCGATAGCAGGACATGGGTATAGTGTCCAGATTGGCCCGGCTATTAGTAAAAAAATGCTGAAGACTAGTTGTAGCGTCCAACCCCACCAAGAGCCAAAATAGAATAGAAATGACTGGGATGTTTTCCAAAGTAAAAACCACCCATTTTTGCTTGGGTACTCCATCAATGTTGATTTTGTTCATTTCGTCCTTTTCCTGACCTTGGTGATTATGCTGCGGGGAATAACTGGGGGTTATTTCTTTTTCTCGAGCCATCATATTCAGGCGATTAAGGGCCGTTAAGAGGGTTTCGTGTGTGCGCAGTACGCGCGGAGTGGAAACGGAAGGGGCAACGGATTCCATATAAGTATTCTCCAACCTACCAACAATGGTGGCTAAAACTTCCTCTTGAACATTTTTGCGAGCCAATTTTTCTCCCATATGAACTGTTGCTTGGTAACTAGAGCTGGAATCGTTTGTGCTTGCAGCGCATTTAGCCAGTCGCGTCATAAGCACTTTGTCCCGAATAACTGTCTCCAGACGGTACCAACAGGACAGTGTTATCAACAGCGCTCCCAAGTACCGGAGAAGCAAATAAGCCGTGATAACTATGCTAAACTCCCCCAGCGTGTTACTGGGCTCACAATATCTAATGAAGTAGATGTGGGTACCTACGGTGCTCCCAAAAAAGACTAGCCAAACGAATGTCATGAATCCCAAGATGACCACCCATTTCTTGTTGTGGGATGTAATATTGTAGAGTGTCTTGATATCGTATAGTGTGAATTTGGGGTCCGAGTAGTTGGTGGAGCATAGCGTCCTTTTATCAATGTCCTCATCATCGTCATGGTAGTCCCCGAGTTCGTTCCCTAATTGTTCCCATGTAAATGGTTGCACGCGGTGGAGAGGGGTGGAAGAGGGGGATGACCCCTCAGCTTCCGCTACTAAAGGTGAGGTGGGGCGGCGCATATCGTTAGTGAAAGAAAAAGCAACAGGGCACCATGTATCTCCGGCCCAATATATTAACCAAGAGACATGCCCAATTTAAGCACGATGCTTTGAATACGGCTACCCGCGAATATATGGAAGAGCGGAAAGCGATGGATGTGACTAGTGCCGTGCTTGAGCTGTTTGAGATGCAAAAAACGCTAGGCACGCTTCGAGAGCAGCATAATAAACTCCTCATGCGGTCAAAACGTATGGAAGAAGCCAATGTTCAAGTTATAAGTGGGCCATTGGAGGACGACACTGCGGGAGACGGGGAATGTGTGCGATCCCACACACTTGCGAGGACCGCTGGCCATCAACAGTCACGCGATAATGTCATCGCTACTTTGACTTGGGAAGACCTTGTTACGAAGGCGCGGTCTTTAGCCGACACCGCACTGGATGATCGCATGAATATCATCCGAGAAATCGAATTGGGACGAAGATATCCCGAGACTCTAGCGCCCACCATCGCAATCACCCCGAACATGCAAGAAGAATACATGTCGCGGCCGGCTGTGGCTTATTATGGTGACTTGGTGCCAGCCTTAGCCGAGCGCATACGTGAAGCCCAAGAACCTTTGCAGCGTTTGGACAGGTCGAAAGAACTAGGGATATTTGTAGAGGTGTTACCTTCCCAGTGGTTTATAGATTTCCTGCACGTCTTTTACCGAGCCAAACGTATTGGCCCCGTGACATATCCTCGAACGATTAACCTCAATGACAAACTGTACCAAGAATACAAGATCACTTTGGTCGACACCCATACCAAAATTGGCACACCTACCACCAAGAAGAGCTACACCATAGACACTCCCTATCACCTCTCGCTCTTTGGCTCTTTACTGACTAACACCAAGTTTGTTCCTATGGAAAAAGAGCGCGACGTCATGTCGACTGCTATCTATTCGGACATAGAACTACTTGTAGACTATGCTGTGCGAGCATCGGAAGACCTTGACTACGACCACTTCCAGCGAGACCCCTATGCCTTTTTCACGGGGACTCGTTACCAAAACCTACTTCATGCCGTAGATCAGGCCGTACGAGATCTCGTGCAGTCTATGGGAAGCAAGTACAAACTAATGGCGACCCCGCATGGCGTGAAAGTAATTGAGGTGAAAGTGGCGGAAGACAAAAGTGGGGTTTCTGGATACAAAAAGGACGGACCGGTCCCAGCTCGCATTATGGCCGTATTGCGCACCTTAATAGAGGATAACATGCGCCTTTACAATAGGACGGCAGCTATAGCTGCTTACAAGGGACTACGAGCTGAAACCATAGGGGGTGATAATAACCGGATTCTCGGGACCAGCTTCAAGTATATCCCGAGAGGTCACATCAGAATGTCCCCAATAGGCCGCCTTTTAAACTTCGACATCAATGCCGTGTCAGACTTTAGTAAGCTTTACAACATGTCGGGCATACAAGCCGAGAAACTCAGAATGAGTGTGGTCTCGGGAATTGACATGTTACCTTGCGTGCAAAAAGTATACGTTCAATTGTTGATGGCGGCCGTGGCCGTCCATACCATCACCATTGGTCAGTTGACCACGACTCATACTACATACAGTTGGAAAAAAATGACCACGAGCTCGAAGACTGTACTAGAGACCTGCACGCGACTTAACCACGAGACAAAAACGGTGCAGTATATGTCTTCACTGGAAGGATTCCCAGGCTCAATTTTCCTCTCCATGTTGGCAGATAATTCCGAAGACAGAAAACTGGCTGATTTGTCCCATAACACAATCGAGCCCTATATGTCGCATCAAGATTACTTTGCTAAAGTGAAGGCCAGAGAACATTTCTTTAATCTTTTCGGGGCTTATGTTACCATGATTCCTACTATTGCCGAAGCAAAATTAGCCCAATCGGTCCCTGGCATGGCCGGAGTGCTTACTCCTAACAAGGACGATAGGGTCGCCACCAACGAGGGGATATATAGTGAGGTCGATAAAAACTTCAGGGGCATTAGGTGGATGTCTCCCGATCGAATGGATCAACTACGAGCCAGTACTGGTGCCGACATCTACGTGATACTTGCGTCACACATCAACAAAGCCATTGTCCGCATGGCAGACTCGACTTTTTATCGCGAGGATATCATCCCTTACTTTATGGCGAAACCTGTCGAGTCAGAGGCCATTACTACGCCGCTTAAAGTCTATGAAAATTACTACAATGCCGAGTTGGGCCTTGTAAACTTCATGAGCAATCCAATTGTTTATTATTCTCGGACAAACATGGTTGAACCCAAGTCAGAAAAAATGCCTATTGGTTCGGGACATGCTTCAGTGTATCCTATCCTTCCGTCACTACAAGCACCTGCAGCATTAATGAGTATTTCACCAAACCTCTTCATCAGCGGTGCTAGAGACGACGACGGAGATCCAACACAGTACTTGTAATTGCCACTACGCAGAGAGGGTCGCACCTGTGTTTTGTAGGGGGTAACGTTTTCTTTAATTGCGGTGTTTAAAAAAACTATGTCAACCCCACGCGTCGTGACCGGTGCTACCCCAGCTTTCACAAAATGTGACACGGCGCATATCGTGCAGTCTTTCCTAGCGCTCTATCCTCACATTGACAAGGTGGTTATGTCGCTTGTGATTGTGATATTGGTATTTTTTATCATACTGCTCTTCATGGTATTCTTGCTGGTGAAGAGGCAAAAAAGGCATATGAACGGAGATCTCAATGTCGACACGGGAAACAGCATAAGTCTCTTCTCGAAGTCGCCAGGGGGTACGCGACGGAAATATAGATTCGCCGGAAATGGGAGCGAACAAGAACTGATAATGGTTTAATATGGACATCTTGATCACGTGGTCTGTGGGTGGGGTGACATCATCATTAACATCAGCTGATTGGTACCGCTCCATTTATAGGCTTCACACCTCAAATTCTGTTAGTTGGTTAAAGTCACGCCGCATCATGTCCACTTCCGTTCCTTCTACTGCTACCGCGGCACCGCTGAGCATACCTCGTTTTAACAACAAGGACTATCGTTGCGTGTTTGTGCACTGGCTGCGTCATAGGGGACGTCTTGATCAAGACTGCGTGTTATGTGCAGCATGTCTCGAGGTGATAGACCACGCCTGCGCATGGATTCTTCGAGTCTTATATGAAAGATTACATCGACAATGCGCCAATTCGGACGTTGTTGCCCTATGCCTCGGAGAACTGACAGTGAATGAGGCCGCCTTGGTCGAAAGGCGCGTTCCCCGCGTAAGGCTATCACCAGAAGAGCTCAAAGACCCTTACCGCCAAATTCGGGACTATAGCATATCCGATGCTAGGCTACGAGAGAGCATCGAGATCCATTTTCCTGGTATGGATATTAGTCGAATTATCACGGACGACGTGTATCTTGGTCTAGGTAACCTGACCCCTCTTATGGTTGGTAACTCCCTTTATCACATTCTCCACAATACCCGAGATTCCGTGTTGGGACGTAGGCACACAATACCTGACCATGCCATTTGTGGCGCCATGATTATTTTCATGCATATCAATGGTATGATATCCCTATCCCCAATGTCCGCTCGAAATCTATGGAGCGAGTATCTCACATCGACAGTAATTTTGTTATTGCACTCAATTCTGTGGAAAGACAAATTACATCGGCGATATCGCAGGTAGCACGTTCTAAGTTGATTAATCTAAACTTTGATCATGGACATTTCGACGGAAAGTAGCAACATAACAACTGGTGTCTTACAACCCTTCCAGCCCATCCCTGATGATGCATGCAGCATTATCCCGACCTTTCAGGGCATATTTGTCTCGTCACAGGTAGCCAATCGCGCTCCCCCTCTTTTCCATGACATCGAGAAGTTTCTCAAGGTCGAAATCGCCAATGGTAACCAGTTTTTACATGGGCTAAACATGAACTTTGTCAAACAGCTCATAGATTTACTCCGACAACACGCAAAGGTCTTTACGGGTAACGAAAAGATACCCTTCCTTGTGGAGGGAAGTCTCAACTCCTGTGACGTATTCAACACTGGGCCTGATATCTTGTGTCATAAAGACGCGGTGGCCGTGATCCCGGTGTTGACCGAGCCTAGGGCCCCTGCGACGAGCGTTATCACCCAGCAGGGTCACCTGAATGTGCATCCTGCTTGGACAGTACCAAAGTACAAATGGGAAATGGCACTTACGACCATGCTGACGGCTGTCCGCAGCATGGCCAACGTTGAGGAGACCCTGAGGAATTTCCCCGACCTCTTGAGAAGTACGAAATATCATATGGCTCTAATGGATTTGATGACAATATCGCTGCAAGGGAACTTCATCTGGGCTAAACTGTACAGCATGTTGAAAAACAGACTACCAGGGGCTAGGGGGCCTGGGGCTTCGTCCGATGCTGTCGTGGCCACGAAGATGATCGAGTATCTCCGGGCAGCCTGGGTACCCTATTCGGGCATTATCAAACCAGAGAACGTCTTCCCCCTTGAACACACCCTTGGAGGCAACGTCTCGTGCATCATTGAAAACTTTATTAATCATATCAAGGAAAACCCGACCGAAGATATTGACCTGATAGATATGGCTGAGAAAATACCCACAAGTGAACCTGACCCAAAGGCATCGTATTACGTGGCCATGGAAAAGCTTTGGAACGACAAGTTTACGAACATCGACCTTATGACGACCATAGCCACGCAGATGCAGGTTCTGAAGTTACCAGTCCAAGGCTACGTTGAACGATCGCACCTTCCCGTCTCTCACGTACCCCCAGGTACCAAGATGACGATCGTTCGGGCTTGACTTATCAACAATAACCCATGTGCCTGTCCAGATCATAATGAAGCCCTTATGAGAATTATAGATAATAAAACTGATTTTGTCTTATCGTATATCTTCTCACAGTGTGTGTGTGTGTGTGTGTGTGTGTGTGTGTGTGTGTGTGTGTGTGTGTGTGTGTGTGTGTGTGTGTGTGTGTGTGTGTGTGTGTGTGTGTGTGTGAATGAGTTTGAATTGAGAGTCAGTCAGTGCGCGGCCTGTTTCAAGTTTTCATTATCGCCGTCAATTGTAGAGATAATTGAGATGAATTAAAGCCTCACAATATGCAGACCAGGGGGGCACAAGCCTTTAACCCGCACGTGCAAATTAAAGCAAAAGATGTAGGCACTTTATTACGCAACAAACACGGCGCTAATGGCGCAAGGCCAATCCAAATCGTCCACCCAGCCCCTGTAACGTATGCGGCCTTGGATCTGGTCTTCAAGCAGCACAAGTATTCGTGGAGCCCCTTCTCTGAGTGCGTCTTCCGCGAACTTCAGCGACTTAAAAATATGGTCAGTGACTATGGTTTACTCGACATGTTATATGCCTTACAGGCTACTACGCAACTCATTGAGTCACCCACAGCGGATACCATCTTGGATGCTTTGGATACCATGATGGCGTCAGGGGCAACTCGAGACGAAAGTGAAGCAGTTAAGGATGCGTGGTTTGAAAGGGAGGCTGTGGCATATACCAATACCATCATTGGTGGCATCGAAAAAAACAAAGTACTGCCCCGTATGGAACATGTAGGGTCCATATTTCTCCACGCTTTGAAGTTATATATGTGTCTTGGTGTCATTCCAATCAAGTACGCCACAGTAGTCAGCCGGAGCAAGAATATCAGCGTTGATGACTACCGCAGTAGCGAAGAAGGTGGAGAGGGGGGCGATGATTGTGAGATAATGGAGACTAATGATGTGGAAGATTTTATTGGAATTTATATGACTAGTATAGAGCAGAATTTGGCCAGGCATCAAATGTTGAGTTTTGACGACGTTTTCCGTAATCTCTTACTGACCTGGCATGAAGGTAAATATACAGCAACTGATATGGATGGCAACTCTTACAGGCTCCTAACTTTTACGGAGTTTTTCGGGGATTCGATGCCCACTCTACCCATGGCTATCGTAAGTAGCTTAATACCCCTAGAGCTACAGTACATCTATGCCATGAATGAGAGCAAACATTACACCATTGACCGTTTGACTCGGACAAACGTTGTAGTATCCAGCGAGATCAGTTCAGAGGTCACGTCTATTCTCAAGGCCCGACAGACCGCCTCTGCCAATTTGGAGGCAGACGTGGAAGGGGCAGTAATGCGGGCCACCGCGAAAATTAAAGAAACTCGTGATTTGGAAAAGAAAATGCAAGGTATCCAGGATTCACTGGCTACATACGAGTCTACCATAGACACGGATTTCTCGAAACAACACAAGCAAAAGCTCCTACATTTCGAGTCCTTGAATAAAGCCATAGTAGAGCTGCAGAAGCAGATGGACATCCCGATGAACAATGAGTCGTCCGAGACGACTAACCCCAGTTATCTTGGTCGCATCCCCGTGGTTAATATGATGGGTACGAACGAAGGCACAGTGCCTTATAATTTAATCGCGGGGACAGGTTCCAAAGAAGCAGAGCAACAGAAGAAACGGGACTTTAAATGCCAACAAGAACAGGAACTGGCCAAAAAGGTAGGGGAATTAACTAAGATGGTGGCTACGTCCAAGACAAAAGCCGAGCTGCTTACAATTGAAAACAGCAAAATGGCTGCTATAAACTCGCATCTCATGTTTGAAGTGAGCACTCTCAAGACGAGCGGCGCCATTTTTGAGAAGGAAGCCAGAGATGCGGAAAAGCGCGCCGAGTCGGTGATGCGAGTTAATAAGCGACTGATGGACGTCCTGTCAGAGATGCGAAAGATGGTAGAATCTATCGGATCCCAACTCCGCATGAGCGAAAAAGACCGATCGCGGCTGCTCCAGCTTTGTGCGCATGAGGATATCGGTGGAACTATGAAGTCCAACTTTGATTACACAAAGCAGGCTGCAGAGATTTTAATGAATGCCCTCCAAAAATCGATACTGGCGCCTGCTTTCTCCGATCATAAGTTTGAAAAGGCCATGTCTAAAGAGGAAGCAGAGCTTCGGAAACATGCCATGGATATGGCTGACTTCCAGCCATTAGCCTACGAAAAAATGCTCGATGAAACCAATGCGCGCCCTGTACATATCTTTGGCGGGATCGAAGACGAAAATAGACTGCGTATTGTGAACAAGTGGGTACCGAGCGGAATGGGCGATACTCGAGTGTCTGATAGACTCTCGCGACGCCATGCTTTAGCTTTGGAGTTACTCAAGTCGGACACGGAAGTTCCGATTTGTAAAGATGCACCGGCCACCGCTTTGAACAAACAACCCATAATCGAGGCCGACCGGTTATGTGTCATCGATGTAAACCCAAGGTCTAGTGAGGACATTGACCGAACTCTGCGGGCTTTGAAAGCTAGTAACCTTATTACGGGCGAAAGTGGTACTTTTTTGGTGGACAATATTTTTGCTTACCGGTATCTGAACATACAATTCCAGCAAAAGGGCGATATTGACGGTGTTATCGGCACCCCACTTAGGCAATTATGGGAACAGCTGGCTAAACACTTACTGAAATTAGATGACGTCACGTATACGATAAATGGTCAGAAAGTGAATCCTCGCGTGGGCACCCAAACCATTAAGACATATGTCATGCCCTTTTTTGATCAGTACCTCGGCATGCGTGATCACGCATACAAGATACCTAACCTGGTGACCACGTTTGAACGGCATTACGAAGAAGTAGAAAGTAAGGCGGTGCAGTGTCGATTCTTAACTGCTAGTAAATACGAACTCCTTGTTAAAGGGTTCTGTCAGCATATCCTAACGGATAAGTAGACCAAGTGCTCAAAGAAAATCGTTATGGCTGTGATTTTGAGACGGTGGTTTTCTATAAGAGAAGCCGGCCGTAGGTTTTGTTGTGTGTGTGGGGGGGGGGACTCGTATTCTACCGAATCGAAGACATGACCACCACGACGCAGTCTCGTGTAACCATTGATAGTAACTAGATTTCATCTTTGCCCGTTGAGTCGTTACTACGACTGGACTCTAACTGATAAACAAGCAAGACTCCTATCTACTCCTACCAAGGCTCCTACCTATCTGCTACTAGATGGGGAATAAAAAAACTCAAAATAACACTAAAGCGTTCTGTGGTTATTATTTTTTAATAACAACACACTACGTGGGATTTGCGAGAGAGGAAGTTGCGAACCGCGTCTCGGTTTTGCGCTCTCAACGCCTCCATAACAAAGATGGGCACTGGGTTTTATTTACATTGGTCTATATCTGATGGTCAGGCCGATGTGCCACAGAAATATTGTTCTAACCGTTTGATGATCCAATACCCAACAAATGTTTTACAAAAACAACAAAGAAAATTTATCAATCAAATCCTACAATAATCTCATGAATCCACACATCAACAAGATAAAACATATGACATGGCAATAAATAAGAAACACGTAAACGAGCAGTTTTGTTTTAACGTCCGTCAGTCTAAGGATCCCATAACGTCAAAGATTTTTACCATAGCTGCTGCAGGTTTCATGCAGAAGGGGCATTGTTTTTTCCTGGCGTACCATCCATCGGCACAAAGGTGGCACATACCATAATGTTTGCACGGTACGACGATTGTGTTCTTCGGAGAAGCGAAACATATCTGGCAGGTGTTTGGTTCCACATCGAAAGTAGCAACTTGGGGCTGCGCGGTAGCAGTCTTGTCTTCGTCCTCATCAGTGTCTAGTACTGGTGAACAAATGCGCTCAAAGTCAGGTTCTAGAAGAGAGTGTCGGCGCGAGATGACAGTAGGGTAGTAGAGGTCAACGTTGATCTTGGCAATCTGCCTGTCATCTTCATTTGCACGTTGGGCGAGCGAACTTATGATGGCACTGAGCTCGGTCCTCATGTGGGAGAGAGAGGTTGGTTGAACCAAAGATACCGCGGGAAGCTCATCATAAATGTTGGGCCAGGTGTTTCTTTCCACATTAAATGTGTAAACATTTATTTGTATCGAAATTCTCATCGGGTAAGCCAGATGTAGTCGCTTCATGTGATGTTCTGCGAGATATATGAGCACAGCGGTCGTTCCTATCTGATCATTTTCCGTTCGGAAGGCAGATGTGTCGTATGTGAACCTGAAAGACGGCGTCTGCGGTCGTGGTTGCGGTACGTTCTTGTAGATAATCTTTCGGAGTTTAGACTTCTCTTCCAGGTCAGACAGGTCTCCAATGCCTGCAGCTGTAGTCACTCTCATCATTTCGTCTTGAAATTCGTTAGTTGTGAGGATTCCCGGCATCCCGCATTCAATGATGTTGAGAATCGTATGCTCGCCAATAAATTGCTGTAGCGGGTTGCTTTCCACATACGTGTGAAGGCACGGTTGATTAAGCATGGCCTGCACGTCGTCTTGAGTCACCGATGGTACTTTGCGGCACGTTAGTGGAGCTGTGGCCGGGTGTAAGAGCTCTACGGGTGGATAACATTCGATCATGGTTAAGGCGACGTTAGAAATCGGTTTGTGGACGAGAACCGGATACTTGGCCTCCAATAAATTAACAAGTAAACAGCGCCGATCTACAGTACGCTTCATATGACGCACGTGTTCGAAGAATGGCTGGTCATTTGGTTCCCATTGGTGAAGCACGAGACCGCATGACATGCAGATTGTTGTGTCTCCACTGGTTCCGTACTTGGCTTGTCCGTACCAGCTCAAGGTGTCGACACTAAGAGCGAACTTGGCCTCGTGGCCTCGAAAGGTAGCTCGGCGGGCTTCCATGCTACGAAGACCCCAGAAAATGGGCTGCTGTGGTACTTTTCCGTTATCCATGCTGGGACTGAGTTTTTGTGGCGCTACAGAGTGGGGTGTGAGATCCGGTCGGTTCTGTTAGGGAACCTTCTTGGTTCTGTGGTGTATTCATTTACGGGGCTGCCGGCGTGGCCCCGATAGATATATTACCCTATCTAGGGGTGACGTCACTAGAGGAGAATGTGTGGATTTTTTTAGATCACGACGCAGAGTAAAGTACGATGTGATATCATTGATTCCTACCCGAAAGGTAAGTTTCGTGCCCAGATCGGCGGTCTCATCAATATATTTCTCTGATGTGCAAGACCCAGAACAAAGAGATTTCACGTCATCCACCGTTTCGTTTTCTCGACTCGTGCCTACTTCCCGGGAACCTACTTCCCATATCGGGGGCCATGCATCATCATCGAAAAACAAACCTCCAACATCTGCTTCCACCACACTCACATGTCTCGGATCAGCGATCAAATCGGCTTCAATCAGATGTTGAGTATAGTAGTCGATGAACCGTTCGCTCTCAATGATTTCGTCGGAAAGGCGCAGGTTGACGTCCTGGCCAACTCTAGAACCAACAGCTGTTCCTAACGGTTCAGATGTGGTGGTTTCGGTTACTACATCCGTGTCCAAATACACATCTACATCCATAGATTCCTCTCCCAGTAACGTATTGTCTTCTCCAATATCCACACCATGTCCGCTCCAATTTTCAGACACTGTGATAGTATCATACGGGGGGACCGTTTCGGTAGGGGTGGTAACGATGGGTTGATACATGGGCTCAGCATCTACGTCTCTTATGAAGGCAATCTGCGCAATTCTCTCATTCGCCGATAAATCGGGTATGTGGTTGACAAGGTCAATTAAGGTAAACCATCTAGGCTGTAACGCCGTCATGAGATTGTTACTGCTATCCAGGAACAAGCAGACCGTTTCATGTTCGTTAAGTTTTGTGGCGTTTAACAAACGATTCACTTCTTTTGGGTAAAACTCTGTCACGAATCTGTCGCAGACAAACTCGCGAACCGTTTCCAAATAAAGTTTAATGGGAGTCGAGTCCATCTCGACATGTCTCTTTGTGACGCTCGCAACGCGCCGCCATGTTTCGAGTTGAATGTCTTTTCCGCTACGATCTGAGGCGGGGAGAATATCTGGAGGGTCCACGCCTACCATCTGGGAGGGACTTCCCATCATATATAACGCCCCCACGGCATCTCTGTCATTGGTTTCACCATAGTGACGACTCAAGCAGATGTAAGGTTGTAGAGCAGTGACAAAATCGTGAAGTACGAATCTCATGTTTTCCTCGGTTGTTAGCACACTATAGTCGGTTAATAACAGGGCGGGAAGTGAAAATATATGCATGATGGCAAGGGTGACGTAACGCCTGATGACATCATGTTGCCCAAACTTTTTGCTAGCCTCTAATTCCTTGGAATCGGACACTCGCCATGCACACCCCGGCTTATCCTGCAGCCACTGGGCCACCTCATTTACTACCATGGAGTCGTGGTAAACATGGCGGATCTGTTCAATGTAAGCGCGTAACGTAGGAGGGGAATATTTCGCATAATCTGTCGAATCTATCCTCTTAGTCGGTTCGTTTTCGTAGGTCACAAGGAGTCCTACAGTTGGGATGTCAAACGTACTTGCTACCGGATCGCTTTTGCGCCATGTGTCAATATGGTTTGCGATAGATTTTGTCAAAAGTCCGCCAATTTGTAATAGACCCATGTTTACACAGGGAGATTGACCAATTTCGCCCACTAAGAGATTAACGAGCTTACTCTGCTGTTCCACATGGTCGCCGGGCACAATGCCCACCGTCCAATGAGCCATCAGCTCTACAAACTTTCTAAATGTTTCTTCATATCGGCCCAGCGTATTACACAGTCGGTTGTACAATTCGACGCCCTCATCAGCAAGACACGTGCAGAGCCCAAACCACCATTTAGAGACGTCCCGCTCATTATCCTTGACCTTACACAGTTTTTTTGCCAAATTAAACTGCGCATTATAGGTCATCTCTACACCGGACGGGTACTTTCTTAGAATCTCCATAATATCGTCATAATACTTTTGCGTATTCCTCACCTGTTCTTCAAGGGACTCCACAGCCTTTTCGACCTTCTTCCACTGCGCATGTACTGATGTGTTGTAAAGGAATGGGGCCACGTGTTTGGCGAGGCCCCAAGTGATAAAGACAAAGCTGTCTTTCTTGCCAGACATGGGGTGCTGATTGTCAGCAAAATCCATTTTGCGCACTTTTTCGTCCCATATTTTCACTTCAGCTTCGTTCAGCCAAAATCTAGACGAATCCACTGCTTCAGTGGGGGACACGTATTCAGCCGGCCAGCCTTGCCAATCTGGGGGTAATACCTCATCAGTGTCAATTATTGGGGATGTAGATATGCGATGTAGTTCAGCGGCACATAGGCCCAATTCATTGAGGGTTTCTAGTCGTTGCTTGGTTATCACTTTCCATGGGTCTTCGGAATTTGATAGAGCTTTAGAGATGGATTTCAAGATTAGCTCGCTAACGATCATGTTTTTTGAGGGCTCTTCATATTGACCCAGTACATCAGTGATGCGGGCCATTATCTCTTGTATAGTCAGTCCGAACCGGACCAAGTCTACTCTGTCGACCCCAATTCCATTCACGTATCGAGCCCACTCGCCCCAAGTTTCGTGGAGACCCATGATTCGTTCTTGGTCTGTCGATAGCACTCGCGTGTTAAATTGATTGAGCATACTTGCAAACATTTGCCTTTGCCTTTCGTGATACGTCATTAAGTCCTGCAAATCCCCAACAGTCCACGTTGTGATCGGGAGCCGTGCATTCAAAAAAGACCTGGCCATTTCAACATGCTTTTCCACTGCCTTTTCCCCATCCATTTCTACCTTATTGTAAGCCGCGAGAATTGCCCGCAGAGAGCAGTGTCTTCTCACAGGAGAACTTTCCAGAAATGTGTCCGTATAAATTATGGGTCGTAGATTCGAGATCCCGACGTAAGTTTGGCGATAGTACCTATACATAATATGGGGAATGCTCTGGGATCTCTTGGTTGTCAACTCGTCCATTACCCTCCTTACAAACGTGGAAGACATCAAGGTCGAGGACATGATAAATGGTTCTAATAATCCATTCATAAACTCCTCAGTATCAAATATAGTCCTAATAAACTGCTCGTGGGTTAATTCACTAATTTCAAATCCATCTATGATTTCATGGACTTGCTTGGCGGTATCGAGGTATTGCGTGACTGCCTGCTCCATGTCTCGATCTTTCAGAGACATCATATTCTCTATACTAGCCCAAGGTTCTTTTACCATGATTTCCAAAATAGCATCGATCAGTTCCACACCCTTTTTAGTATGCACCATGTCCAGAAAGTCATCACGCAATTTTTCGTTCCTCCGCATCTTGTTTTCGTTGTAGACTGTTCGTAAAGACTGGTTGTAAAATTGAATGATATCAATGTCCTCATTCTGCGCAATAGCATTTGCCGCTCTTTGCTTCATAATGTCGTGAAGTCGCTGTCGTTCAGGAGGATCGAGTTGGTTCTCATTGGTGGTGGTGTGGGTACCCACCCCCATCTTTGTTTCGACGTTTTGAAGCCAGGCCCAATACTCATCTACGGATATGTCGGTGGGGGGATCTAGCCACTCTGCAGCATCACGAGGGCGCGTTTTGACCACCAGGGGCGATTTAAAGATGTTTCTAAACTTAAAAACAATATTGGCCATCATCCAGTCGAGGTGGGCAGGCAGCGTAGAAGGGTTCGTCTTGTAAGAAATTGTATTCATCATATGCTTTACACAAAAGTATTTCACGTAGGGATAAGCCGGGGAATGTGGGACATACAAAACATACTGTTGATTCATTACGTCATAGACTGCCACCATACACATGCCCGACTCCAGAGCTTGTTCGGTCAGGGGATACATGCCATCTCTCACCATGACTTGATATAAACTGGCGGTTGGGAGCAACCCAAGCGTTTTGGGCTTCTGTGGTGAGTCCATCGCGTATACGTGGCCATAGGTCGTCCTAAGGCAGTTAATTGTTAACTCATGATTGACCAATTGCCATAATAAATCCATGATGTATGCAATGGGTGAGAGAATGTTTGGCAGTGACGAGGATATCTATGGTAATGCCTTAATTTTTGCTCGCGACGACCATTATAGTTCGTTAATGGGTTGGCCATCTTTGTTTTCTATGATGTCTATGACATGTTCTTTTAGTTGTGATTGTAAGTTGGGTAAGAACGAAGATTGGCGGAGATACAGAACCATGTATCCTACGACACGCGTGGCCACAACTTTAGGCCGCATTTTGTCGTTGATGGGGTCCTTGTACATTATGACAAAATCGTGATTCTTCGTACGCAGAATGGCTACTCCATGGTGTGTAGGCTCGTAGGCATACAGAAAAGCAATATCTACCGACGACGTCAGATATCGGCTATATGGTTGCATTTTGACGTATTCAGCAAGTTCTTCATCAACGATGGGATGCCCCTCGTCCTTGGTGAAGAAGATTGTGTACACGTCAACCTTGGTGTTGAATTGAGGTAGGAACTCTGCGTCAAATTCCTGCCGCACTGAAGGAGAGACGAACTGATCCACCATTCGCAAGAACACATTCGTGTGTAGCCGTTTTGATCTACATGTGGGCTTGAAGCAATTCGACACGCTTAGGCCAAACCGCACCATGGAAGCATTGAAAATCACGTGTACGCTTACGGGTGCTTTAGGTTTGTTTCGATGAGGTCTTCGAGGGCAATAGGGCAAGCCACCCCTAAGCTCCATACCTGGGATGACGAGAGTTAGTCGATTTTGCATGACTTTGAAATATGAGGTGTTCAACTGCTCAATGAAGTGCGGAGGATAGGTCGTATTATCGTGTCCCACGGCGCTTTGGGCATATTCAATCATCTGCTTCTTCCCAGTTAGGATCCACAATTCGTTAACCATCTTGGTAAGCTTCTCAACATCACCGCCATTTTCACCCCATTGATCAAATAATACGGAATGCCGATTGAGGCTAGCCATGATACGCTGGATGTCTGCACTACAGTTGTTTCTTGTAAAGTTATTTAAGGTATCGATATTGCTTGCTCTCAAAAAACTCTCATCGTCCATGGGAAGCAGATCGTGTACGTAATCTATAACTTTACCAATCACGATAGGGTCGCCCTGTTCATTTATGTCTGGGGCGTGTACAAACATGGCCGTGACAGGAATCGGTTCCGATAGAGCTAGACCATCTGTGCGTATAACACAAACTTTGGGTTTTTTCCCATCACATTTTCTTTGCCCAGGTAACCTGATCCCGTGACCTGTCGGCGTGTCCGCGTTGGGGTAGATACACGGGTCGTAAACGTTCTGGTCGCAATCGATTCCTATAGTGTCAGGGTACATGTAGCGAAGATTATTTGCCAGCTCCACTAGCTGTCGCGCCACGTTAATGGTCATGACTATCCCAGGGGGGAGTTTTATGTGGTGGTGAAGACCAATCTTTTTAGAAAGCTCAGCCCCAGAATCTGACCAAAAGACATAATGTACCGCTGAGCCGCTCCCGATCTCGGGTATCTTCTCGAAAATGCGTTCGGTCATGCTAATCGTGTCACGCCCCATACTCTCCACGAGCGCCTTGTCAACCACAGCCAAAGGTTGTGGGCGGTCAATGTCAAACACCAAGACCTTAACATGACTTTTATTGTTAATATATTCCGACATAAAACCAGCCTCAGGACATACTTTCGTCTTGAGATACGTTATCATGTCACAGGGTGGTGTCTCTGTTTCAATGGCGCCGTCTACCGATGGCTGGATGCTGTTTGTGACGTAATAGCTGGGCACGTGTTGTTCGGGTCCCCACATGTACCAGGTAGGAGTGCACATTGCTGCTTGTTCGAGCAGATGCGCAGCGGTAACTTTGATGTGGGGTATCAAGTGCGGTAGGTCAAAGGGGGGCATGTGACTACTGGAAGCGGTCACTATTCTTTGGGGCTCGAATCGTTCGGAAAGTTTCCCCAGGTTCTCGGGGTAGTAAAGATAGTCACTAGACAATTCGTGCCCAAAATGTTTCAGGATATACGGCATGTTTCCGTACAGCCGAAGTATTTGGTCTTCCTTTACAGTGACCGTCATGTTACGGAAAGTGGAGCTTAACAGGTTCTGAGGAGCAAACGTTCTGTCAATGATCTCCTCTCTGGCCAGACTCCACGCTTCAATACTGTCCTCGTTAAATAAAGCTGCGTGCGGAGGAATCATGGTAATATTTTCTTGCATGAGCTCAGTAATCATAGCAGTAATGAACTGTGGGAACATTCTGTATCGACGGCGCACTTGTTCTATTTTTTCACCAATACGTTGATTATAGCGCACCGAGTTCCGCTTGACGTTTCCAAACAGTAGTCGCATCTTCTCCTCGCACGCCTTGATTGGTGCATCTTGTCTACCAACCGCTCCTATAAGCCTCAGGTGGATTTGGGTGTCAAAATGTTGGCGGCGCTTGAAAACGGCCTCATCCTCAGGCGGTATACAAGCCGTGTCCTCTCGATAGGAGTAGGGAATCGTGAGCCCGGTCAGCGCGATACTGGCAATAGTGCCGCTAACAGTCCTGCTCGGAATAAACCTGAGCTGCCAGTGAAAAAAGACATAGATAAATTCGATGAACCGTAGGTACCGCTCCTCCTCCTTCGTTTCCAGGGCCATGTTGAAGAGGGGTGAATGCCAAAGGGCATCTTGAATACACCATGCGTTCAAGAGTCCTACAAATTCCCAATTATTTATATATAGCATAGTAGGTGCTTCTCGATACACGCATTTGGCCTCGGGAATGGTTCGGGTCCATGTTCGGTAGGCCACGTCTTCGATCCATTCCCATTTCACCATGTCTGCACTCTGGTCTTCCAGCACGCGGTTCGTGATGGAGTAAATGTCCTCCGGGTGAAGCCATCGTAGTTTCACATCGTCGAATTGCATGTCTTCGATGGTGAACCGACATTCGGTCAAGACGCGGTCAACAACTTCCTCCGACATGAGATAAGCCACAGCGTAACAGGCAGTATTTAACATACACACCTTCTGCACATAAGCACTTTCTAGCCACAGGTATCCCCTCACTCGTGCTGTGGGCGTTTCCCAGAGTCGCTTCGCTTCTTGGGGTAAATCACGACAATAGTATGGAAACCATAAATAACAGCCCATGTCTTCCAATTCGGGAGTCGGTTCCTCAATCACCTTTTTATTGATAAAGGGAAACACGTTGGGATCCATGGTCGTAACTGCCCTTCCCCTCAGGAACTTTGCTTCGGCCATCTTTCTGCAAGGTCTTTTGATTGTAGGTATGGATTATGTCTCGAAACTTAGTCAAAGTTGCTCACCTCTCGAACCTGTGTTGGGTTTTAGATATGTGCCTGGACTTTGGACGATACACTCCATCGACTATATAGCTTCTCCTTATAGGGGGGGCGTAAGTCATAAGTTGTACGTTTTGACGAAACTTCCCGAGGCAACTGACACATTGATAGCTTTGCTTCTACTGGAAGAAGCGCATAAGTATGTATGGGCCCTTCCGCGACAAGTGCGAAACAGACTTCCGAAACTGACCCACTTCTACTGGATAACTACGTTACACACGGATAACCTATGGTTCCTGCTGACGCATCCTTCAGTCACCGTAAAAACCGGGGATTGGTTCAGTCCCGCTAACTCACGCGTGCGTAGATTAGAGATAATCATATCTATCCAATCGTGTACCTTGGCATACGAAATCATGGATGAACGATTGACCCTACATGGTGCGAGCTATACAGCGAGGGTGATTCAACCCTTTGATCCATTACTTCATCTGGCCTTTAAATAGCCCTCTAGGTACTCCTGCCCCAGTATGCCGACTGAGTGGGGACGTGGAAAAACAATCTCAACTCTTTATCCTCCAGCATCGAGCTAGTAATATGGCCCATCGTACAGTCGACCAAATCATTTTCTCTTCTGTTCCCGGGGCCGTCAATAGTACCATTTTGGAACTCATCGGCCAGCGATTATCAATCAAATATGCCAATAAGTATCCCGGAGGCATATACGTAGATTATGGCCAAACCAACGTCGGGGACGTCATCAGGCCTCAGAAACAGCTTATGCACAGATCTCAGAAATACCTTGCCTGTTCGACTACCTTGGGGATGGAGATTCAACAAGAGGAGGTCACCTTCCTTTTTGACAAGCTAGTGAATTCTTCCGACCCACCTGTCTTGTCAGTACGAGAGCGATGTTCAGGAGACGCCTTTGGTATTTTCGCCTTTGCGAACTTTTACGATCTTCGGCTTCGCAACAGCATACAATTCTATAATTGTTGGGTTAACTGGCACGACTTTGGTCGCGTAACTCGTCGAGGGGTCGATCTAGCAAGAACAGTGCTCTCGCAGTACTCCCACACTTTAGTCATTTATCTTCGTGAGTCTGCAGAGTTGCACAGGCAGCGGTTTGAGCAAGGATCTATACATGCGAAGTATATGAGGGACCTGGTAAACTTGCACGAGATTTACTATCGCTGTGAAGGGTGTGAAAAGCTAGAGTACGACTTTCACATTTATGAGACGTACGATCAAAGACTCATCACTGCTATGGATGTCTTCAACAGCACCACGACGACTATTAGTATCGTTGATATAATCAAGTTTGATAAGGCACCGGAGCGTCTGGCAGACCATATCATTGAGCGCATAGACATGTGGTTTTTCGATATTGAGAGAGAGTAAAAAAAAGTATATATTACTACAGGAAGCACCAGTATCACATATTTTATCGTCTTGCTTGATTTTTTTTGTCTCCGCTTCTTGCGGCACAGCGCTGTACTTGCTCTCCTCCTTGGTAATATTTACTTTAGCTGTAACTCAATCTTTAATGTTGCATTCGTACCTGTGGAAAAAAACAGTAACTGGGTTGACTAGTAGTGAATTGAAGTGTCTGAATAAAGTATTGTGAATGGAGTGCGTATCGTATGTGTGTGTTTTTCTGTCTTGATGCGTCCTATATTCGCCCCCTTGAGTGTTTTTTTAATTTCCTTCATTTAATCATCTCAAACTCTCCCTCGTATATAGATGAAACTATACCTATCACAAAAAAGAGTCACACAAAAAACCTATTCGTGCAAACCATTATGCGGCCAGTTTTTTACCCCATGCGGTAAGATTCGTCGAAAAAAAACTACGGTGGTTTGAGGGTTAATGGCCGCTTTTGCGAATACTATGAGTGTAACTAGCTTAGTTGAGCTAGGACACCTTACACAAGATAAAAGAACGCTTCATCGGCGCGGTAACAGATGTAAGCGGCCCATTACCAAGCTGAACAAATCAGGTGAAACAGCCGATGTGAAACAGCGCGGTAAGCTCATACACGGTTATTTGGAATCCTTAGATCATACATTCAAAACTTTCTGGAGCGATTCAGCAGCCACTGAATGTGCTGCTCACATTGTGAACAGGGCCAAACAGATACAAGCTCTGCTAGCGCACGGCCGATGCGAAGAATTTAGATTTTCTAGTGTTATAGGTAAGCTAACTGTGGTGGGTAGCATTGATCGGCTTTCTTTTTCGTCACCTGAAACCCTAGACATAATTGAAATAAAGACACATATGCGACCCCTTGTTGCAATTAGCCCAGGTTCTCTATTCAGTGCTAAGCTACAAGTCCAACTGTATGCGTTGATGTTTAACACCAATTACCTCGATAGCAGTACGACTGCGAAAACCTTGTGGCGAAACGAGTGTCTTGCCATAGACGGAGACCTGACTTCTGACCACCCAATGCGTGGTCAATTTGCGCAAGAGGTGGGAGAAACGCAAAAAAGTCTCCCAACTTTGGGGGCTTTGTTTGAATGGTATCTAAATAATTGCATAGCCCCACTGCGCAAACGTGTAAAGAAAGTCCGCCTCATAGTCGCACACGTTGACCAACAAGTCTTCGCAAATGCGATATTAACCGATGCTGTAGATGTGGAGGCTTCAGCACAAACATATAGATTCGAGAGGGTGTGGTGCACTCGACAAATCCAGAAGATACTACGCGGTTGTGCGACTCCTACTGATAAGCAAAAAAAAAACACCCTTCAAACGTTGCCATGTCCAGCCCAGAAAAAGAGGAAAAAGAAGCAATAGACCAAATCGAGGCGGCTATGTTTGACATGTTGTCAACCTGGGAAGACAAGTTTCGTCATGCCATACATATGGCTACCCTTCCTATCGATACCCTACTACCTGTCTGCAGTAAAGTTAAAATGGAAGAATTCTTGGCCCAATTGGACGTCGTGCTGGCAGAATTGCGCGATGATTATCGCCTCTTTGTGTGCCGGTACGCTCCCCCGCCTGAAGATACGCTTGTCGGTATTACACTTAGATTCTACGTAAAACGCGTATTATTAGTCTTAGAAAGACTTAAGATGTTGATTTCATACATGATTACCAAACGTGTTAAACCCGACTTTGGTCCAGAGGATCCGGATGGTGTCATGACATTCAATGCCGCTGACCGGATATCGTACGTGGAAGCCAACCACGTCCCACCTCATAAACTTTACCACCACAAGACTGGTATTCATGTGGCTGCCGACCTTCCCCACGCCATCACGACCCGCGCCCTATACGAACATGTGTGCCGATTCTGGGGAAAAAGACAGATTTCGACAAACAGCGGTCGAGATCTAAGCCATATGAGTACTACCCCAGCAGATCAACCAGACTCTGGATGTTTCGACAATGAGGTTCTTACAACTCCCCTATCTGAAACTACAACCATCATTTACTCTAACAAGTTTGCTAATGATATCATCGACTATGTTTGCCATCTTTCATCATATCCGGTCGTACCACCCGACCTCAAAGGGATCCTACGTTCCACATTGGACGACGACAGCGTGGTGGATGCCCAAAATTTACCATTAGGTACACCTGGTCCAGACAGTAGGCATAACGTCACCAATATTGCTTCACCCCGTGCCTGTATTTGGTGTAAAACGGAGAACACCGCGATTGGTCATACTGACGTCACCGAGCAAGCAAAACGGGCGCGGTGCCAATGTATTTTTAGCAACACCATCACCGGTACTGAGTATAAAGCCGCATCTAAGATCAACCCCTGTTACTTTGAGGGTGCACAGAGCACGAGAGCTACCATCATGACTCGAATCAGCCGACTCAATCGTCGCGGACCCAAGAACTTCGGTTGTAACACTTGCGAAGCCCACCAAGACGTTCTCAACCGACAACTTGCTGATATCAGTCTGATATTTGACGCCTGTAGCGTTGGTCGCTAACAAAAAATAAATACAAAGACATCAGACTCTGATAAAAATGAGAAATTAAAACTGAAACCGAAAACCGTGTTGACACAGAAGCCGGGCTCGAAATAACATCTAAGCTGCTGACACTGATACTGGGAGGGGCGCTTCTTTTGAAAATTGGTGTTGTTGCCCCTCCCTGTTGACTATATTTAACAACAATGTGAATCATGCGATTTATAGCTTGAATCTGGGACAAAATCACCCGCAACTGAACCAGATGCTGTTTGCTGGTAGAATAAAAAAAAATGCTGACTGAAACTTAAAATGAATAAATGCGATTCTTGTGGTTTGAAACATCACTAAACACACGGTGAACCTTTTCCTCCATTGTTTAATCCAGTTGGTGAAGTGACCCGTATAGAGACTCCCTTGTAACGGTCAACCAGCTGGCCCACAATGAGGGCAACAGCCTTGCCTGATACAATTAACTACTTGGCAAGCACATTTTGATTAGGCTGGCATCAGGGTGTTATTGATATCCATTAACGTTTCGATCAGCAGCAAATTCCTCTGTGACCAAACTCCTTATATACTTACAGTATATATATATATATATATATATATATATATATATATATACCGTATTTTGCCACCGAAAAGGGAGGAAGACATTTGGAGCCACAGATCCCGTTCCCGTAGTCAATTTCAACACCAAAGGCGCGCCTCGGTATTCTTGTTTGTTAGTGCAGATCTAAAGACTAACCATACGCTGACTTATTCCTCACTTGTCGCAAATCACAGGTCTCACAGAGGGAATATTGTAATGGATATTGGACCAGTTCCCCGCAACATTTGGACCGAGGCCAGACGTACCGAAACAGTGACTCCGGTTCAAGACTCAACGACAACCTCTACTACAACCTCTACAACACCCTCTACAACAACCTCTACAACACCCTCTACGCCAACTGCCATTCTTCCCATCGAAAGGTTAGTGGTGCAATCCCAAATTAATAGATCCCGTGCGAGCATTAATGTGCCTGGACACCATCGTCGTCCCGCTAGTATGCAAGAAGAAGGTGAGATTGAGATTCATCACCGGGACGCAAAGGGATATTGTTCCGACATAACAAGTACTATTCCTCTAAACATCTATGTGGTGGAATATCGGAATGTCCAACAGAAAAGGGTCATTGTCGAGTACATATATCAGTTCATTGCAGCAGAGATGGGCCGGCAGCAGTCCATTTATCCCTTCAAGCTAAAGGCCAAGATTGACATCGAGAGACCTTGCGGCTCTGATTTTTCCCTCATGACAGTTAGTACCAATAACATACCGATCACATGTGATGCTGAGTTTAAATCCAGACTGCACCAAATCATCGATGCTATTAACACACACGGCCCACCCATGACTAGAGATGGTGTCGATGCCGTCATATTTCTTGAAGCAACGAAAGATAAAGTGAAGGAAGGTGTGTTGTTCTAAGCACGGCATGCAAATAAAAGATATTGAGTTGGACTGAATGTACTGTTTTCATTCCTTCCAACCACCACCAAAGTCTCTATCTCACGTATTTTAGTATGCATGTATGTATGTATGTATGTATGTATGTATGTATGTATGTATGTTTGTATGTATATATCTATGTATGATCTCTCTCTCTCTCTCTCTCTCTCTCTCTCTCTCTCTTTGTTCTGTAGCAATGTTCAAGACCAGGCGGCAGCACAAGTCAACTTGGATAACGCTGTTGAGAAACGCTACATGTGTGAGTGGTGTGGATTCAGGACAGCTTACAAATGGAACTTATCCCGGCATATGATAACCCATACAATAAAAAGACCATACAGCTGTGACCAATGTGATTATTCTGCAGCGCGGACAGACAGCTTAGTTGATCACAAGACAACCCATACAGGAGAAAGACCCTACAGGTGTGACCAGTGTGATTATTCGGCAGCAATAAAACGCAAATTAAATTGTCACATGAGAACCCATAGAGGGGAAAGACCCTACAGGTGTGACCTGTGTGATTATTCTGCAGCGCGGAAAGACGCCTTAAATGGTCACATGAGAACGCATACAGGGGAAAGACCCTACAGGTGTGACCAGTGTGATTATTCGGCAGCAATAAAACGCAACTTAAATTCTCACATGAGAACCCATACAGGAGAAAGACCCTACAGGTGTGACCAGTGTGATTATTCGGCAGCAATAAAACGCAACTTAAATTGTCACATGAGAACCCATAGAGGGGAAAGACCCTACAGGTGTGACCAGTGTGATTATTCTGCAGCGCGGAAAGACACCTTAAATGGTCACATGAGAACGCATACAGGGGAAAGACCCTACAGGTGTGACCAGTGTGATTATTCGGCAGCAATAAAACGCAACTTAAATTGTCACATGAGAACCCATAGAGGAGAAAGACCCTACAGGTGTGACCAGTGTGATTATTCGGCAGCAATAAAACGCAACTTAAATTGTCACATGAGAACCCATAGAGGGGAAAGACCCTACAGGTGTGACCACTGTGATTATTCTGCAGCGCGGAAAAGCACCTTAAATGGTCACATGAGAACGCATACAGGGGAAAGACCCTACAGATGTGACCAGTGTGATTATTCTGCAGCACTGAAACGCACCTTAAATGAACACATGAAAACTCATACAGGAGAAAAACCCTACATATGTGGGGCGTGTGGATTCAGGACAGGACATAAAAGAGACTTAACGTGTCATATGAGAAGACATACAGGAGAAAAACCCTACAAGTGTGAGCAGTGTGGCTATTCTGCAGCCTACAAAAGTACCCTAATTAGACATATGCAAATTCACATGTCTGAGGCAATAACCTTGCAACTCAATCGTTCTATTTCAGATGTAAAAAATGCTATCGCCAATCTACACGACTAGCTATGAGCCAAATCACAAATGATAGGAGAAACAGCCCACAAGTGTGACCAATGTGGCTATTCTGTAGCCTACAAACGTACCATAATTGGATATATGAAAATTCACATGGAGGCAGCAACCTTGTAATCAGAGCGCATTCACTTTTGCCTAATTTTCTCTTCTTGGAGAAATAAATAAAGACGGCCGTCCGGTTTATCATCAATTTTTTTGACCCGTATAGAGACTCCTTTGTAACGGTCAACCAGCTCTATAATCTTTCTCTAATTCCAAGCTTAAGAAAATATAACATCAATACCAAAACATGTCATCTTTATCTTTAACTCTGATACTATTGATCACTTAAAAGAAGTCTTAGCCAAGCTCATCCACTTTGTTCTGGTGATAATTATTTAGAACAAAAAATCACATTTTTTAGCTATTTAGCATTGGAGCTGAAAAATAGTAAACTCGATTGTATTGTTTAGAAAATGTATATTTCAATAGTTAGTTATAAACATTGGTAAGTGATTGCATATATTAGGTCGAGCTTTTCTTGTTAGCGGTTTGTTGGTAATAGTTAACTTTGACTAAGCGTGTTCCTTTTACTAGTATTGTACAACAAATAGCTTTGGCTTGTTGGTAATAGTTAACTTTGACTAAGCGTGTTCCTTTTACTAGTATTGTACAACAAATACCTTTGGCTTGTTGGTAATAGTTAACTTTGACTAGGCGTGTTCCTTTTACTAGTATTGTACAACAAATACCTTTGGCTTGTTGGTAATAGTTAACTTTGACTAAGCGTGTTCCTTTTACTAGTATTGTACAACAAATATCTTTGGCTTGTTGGTAATAGTTAACTTTGACTAAGCGTGTTCCTTTTACTAGTATTGTACAACAAATACCTTTGGCTAATAAAAACTGTAAAGTAGTATTTTGTTCACAGTAAATTTTTACCTTCGCCAAGAAGGTTATGTTTTCAGTAGCGTTTGTCTCTCTGTGGGTGGGTGTGTATATATGTCTGTGTGTGTGTGTGTGTGTGTGTGTGTGTGTGTGTGTGTGTGTGTGT